CGCCAATTGGTGAAACTGTACAAATTCTGGGCGAAACGGCATTGACACTTCGCCAATGGCCGAAACGGCACATGACATTTCGCCAGTTGGCGAAACGACACATGACATTTCGCCATGGCGAATTGTCTTTTGGCGAATCGTCTTTTGGCGAAACGGTATTTTACCTCGTTGAATAGGAATTAATGAAAAACTTTCAGTCGAGAGAGATGTTTAACCTTAAGATGAGGTGTTATCGCAGCAAATCGAAATTATAAGAGATATTTCATCTGCACTGCGAAAAAGAGCCGTAACATGGTGAAAACTTAACTCTGTCTTTTTAAAATATTCTCAGATTCTCCGCTCAAAACTAGGGTTATGAAAAACTTTTTAGACTTCTTGGCCTCAGTTTGGCTGACTTATAGAATTTATAAAATCGGAGCCATCGAAAAGTGTTAAAAATGACACTTCGTGCATATTTTATCTATAACTCCGCCATTTTTGAATATTTAGAGTACAGATTTTTCACATGCTTTGTATTTCGTAAACTCACTAAAAAAAGGTAATTTTATTCCAAGATTTTTTGATCCAGACCATTGCAAAACTTCTTGGATGTATTTTAAAACAGCTTAAAAGTGTGCATTTTGTTCAGTTTTTGGCCAGCTTTTCTCAACAAAATGATCGGTAGCTCACGAAGTTATAAGCAAAATATTGCGAAGATCACTTTTTCGCCATTTTTCGATGGTCCTCATTTTGTAAAGTCTATCACGCGGTCAAAATAATACTAAATGGCACAAAATTCCCAGTTTTGATTTGCAATCCGGATATAAAATAATCCATTGACTCACAAAATAGTGTCTTAAATCAGTTTTTTAATCATGAATGGTTTAAAGAGAAATAATAAAGCTTTCAGACTTTACACAGCTTTTGATGTTCTATAGGTTGTCTGACTCCCAAAAATATTGAAATTTCAGAAGACTAGTTTTGTAGAAAGTCCTTGAAAAAGCTACTAAGATCTCGAGCACATTGATAATAAAATGTATGGTTTCGGTGTCAAGCTATTTTGACTGTATTGTGAATATTCTCTCGTTTGATTTCTGTCTACTTTTAGAGAACGATAGTGAACTCCATCTTATTACAAAACAAACTGAACGTTTAAGCGGTGAATGTATTGATTATTTTCGTGTTGATCCAATGGTGCTGGCTGATCATTGGTTAATTAATGGTGGTATCTACTATTGGGAAGGTACGAAGAGTATAGTCAAATTGAAAATTGAACAAATGTTCTGTGATTTACCATTCATATTTATTGGTATTCGTTCAAAACATTGTGAATTATCACGTCCATTTTCAATGACTTCAAAATCATTCTATGGATGGGCAGCAGACTGTCCGGCAGATGTCTGTCTAAATGGTATGTCTGAGAAAGGTTACGGTGGTTTTCATGGTATACTAGAAGGTGATTTAATTGAATTGGGGATAAATTCTCAAGAACATAAATTAGAATTGGATATTAAATGTAGAACGCCAAATAAACATTTTGAAATATCAATTGATTTACAATATTGTCCATTTCCATGGCAAATACATTTAAATATGTATCATGGTGAAGATTGTGTTAGAGTTATTTTATAACGACAAAAAAAGAAAGTAAGTAGGCGAAATACATTTTTCGCCGACTAAACTGTGACTGAACAGAAAGGACGTTTGTTGTCGATGGCCACGTAAGAATATGAGTAGGAATGCACCAATCCAATTTAATCTATGTCGATTGTGGTCGAAGTCGACTACACTCAACATTTTTATCAAATGGAGAGAATTAGTGGGGAACTACCGGGATCGAGTCTTCAGAAGCCGGTCTTCGGTGTGAAACACTATTTCGGACGTTTTTGAACACGAAGATTACACATGGTTAACTTAAGAACATAAAAGACAGCAAATTCAATTCTCTACGAAATGTCGCTTGAGTCAACCCTGTAAAGCGTTTTCTTCATAGTCTAATCTTGGGAAAATGTGAAAATTTAATTAAAAAATGAAAGAGAAATTTGGTTTTGCTTAATTTGAGTATGACAAAAGACTTTTTCGGGTTGAGTCAAGAGACAATTTTCTAGAAAACTGAATTTTTGATTTTCTAACCTCTTGAGTTAGTTCTTGAAATCCTTTCTTCACTGTTAAAAAGTGGCCAAACCTCTTTTGACACCGAAGACCGGCTTTTGGAGACCCGGTTCCAATTAGAGAAAATGCTCGCCATCCGATTTTCTAGTTTTGAACTTGCGGACCAAACATTGAAAAGTTCTTCGCTCTTACAGAAAGAGATGTGCTAAGCATTTTCCAAAAAAATTTGAGTTTAGTCGATTTCGACCACCTCGATTCTTGGTCACACCACCGAGTTCCCTAGTTACCATGAGAACGTGCTGGTTTTGAGAACTCAAGCTTCATGCCGATTCAGTCCTATATATATTTTATCTGTACTCTTCCCTCGCTTTTTTATGCTTTAGAAATGAAGAGATGGAAAGAAGAAGTAAGATTTATTTGAATAATCGTAAACATCATCATTCAAGCAATAACGAAACATTATTCGGCCGGTTTTGTTACTGTTTATGTTTTTGCTTGACACATTGGAATAAATAAATAAAAGAAAACAAAAGTAAATTTTATGAAATAAGCAATTATAATTGTAGCCGTTTTTAAATTTTTAATCATATTTATTCTTTTGTGATATTTCGACCTTAAACGGTCATTCTCAAACAAGAATCTAACAACAATGGTTAAAGAACATTTGACTGATCAGGAGCAGTCGTTATCAACGTATTCAACTGTATTGACTATTCGCTCATGAGTTGTGAAAACGTATAAACCTCAGAAAAGAGACATCCATCAACACTCTGGGCCAATTACACGATCGCAGACCGGCAAATTGTCATGATCATTGTCAGAAATAAATCTTGATGAAATAGATGATGTCATTGCTACATATTCAAGTCTAAAAGGTAATATAAAGAAACAGCAGTACACAGCCAAATCAGCTTTTGGCAGACACTATACACCAACTGGTCATACTGTAACAGCAGCTGATTTTCGAATCATTACGACAGAATAACAGTAATGGAATCACTACGTATACGTTGTCTTGAGTTTGATTCTCACATAATTAAGGACGACTTCGAATTTTAATCGTATCGCTAAGCATGACTACATTTCAAAGGGGCGGAAAGGATAGCTGTCGGGAACATGGTAGATTTCTTTTTATTTCATTTTGACGAAAAACTGCGTTGTGTTACACAAAGGAATAAAGGTTTATATCGATAATAATTTCGCTCATCTGGTTCAAACTCTATCAGCAGTAGAACTATAGTGTTTTCTTAAGTTTGAAAAAATCATGAGT